CTCATATTTTGCGAGCCGTTGAAGTAATTTTTGTCCGAAGTTTGGCGGTGTCCGAAGTTTGGTGGTTTCTACTTCTACTTCACCACCATACCATGAGCAGATAGAGGGATACCGCCACCGACATAGTGTGATCCGCAACAAACGAGATGTAATTGTGGTCGGTGATTCCATGATGAAACACATTGACGGAAGACATCTCTCCCGCAGCAAGAACGTGAAGTGCGTCTCTTTTCCCGGTGCAAAAGTGAGAGACATCTTCACCTCTTCACCTTGCGAGTTTCTCAAGCCAGGGGGAGAACTGATCATCCACGCTGGCACCAACAACATCTCTGAGGGTGCTGGTGAAGTTTGCCACCAAATCACAGCTTGGCAAGTCTGTTGCTGCCGAGGGGTTTAACGTCTCAGTCTCTACGATCATCCATCGTAGAGGGGAGAGTGAAGCGGACAAGAAGCGGGTTGATGAGATCAACTATCTGATGGAGTTGGCAGCCAGCGAGAACAGATGGGGCCTCATCATCAACAATGATATCAGCGAGCAGCATCTCGGGCGTGATGGCGTTCACCTCAACAGAGCCGGTCAACGAATCTTGGCAGGCAACCTGGAACACCTCATCAACAGTGCTGACCAATCGACAACACGAGGCCATGGCTGGACTCAACGGTCGTCCGATCAAGTTACATGCAGTGAACCTGGAGCAAGGCGGCATCAAGCCATCTACCGAGAAAACCAGAGTCTTCATTCTGATGAGGAAAAAAGCAGCCCCGTAAAGTCCTACGCCGAAGCTGTTTCTGGGAGATCTTTGGATTTCAGTGCAGTCAAACAGAGGTCACGACTGAAACCAGCCTTCAGACCATCCAAGGTGGACATGAAAGACTGGGCGAACTATCTTCAATTTGTAAGAAGGGTATTGAATTAAGTGAAAGTTTGACAAAATCTAGTGATGATCCGAAAATTATAGTTGACGGTCGAAAATATAAGTTCCCTTGTGGGAACTGTGATAAGCCAGTCAAATGTAATCAACACGGCCTTCTGTGTTCTTATTGTAAAAAATGGTTTCACACTAATTGTCAAGCTATCAGTTTTTCAGAGTACCGCAGGTTATATTATGAATGCCCTGATGAGAAGTGGAATTGTTTAACATGTTGTCTGCCATCTTTTTGTGAATCAATATTTACTGACGATTGTTTAGAGAAAGAAAGCCAAAACGAGGATAGACTAAAAGAAAACTATTTTAAGGTAACGCGCGTTACACCTGAAAAGCAAGCGATAGCAAGAATAATTCAGCCAAACCTCAAAGATGAAAACACTTCTCTTTTTCAAGAATTTGAAGAAAAGTTTAAAATTAAAGGTCTTCATTTACATTTACTATTATGGATGCTATAAGTACTGGAGATACGGAATCCCTGTGGATAAATTTGCTTATACCAAGATCAAAACCAATTGTTGTTGGCGTTCTGTATCGACCTCCGAAAAACAATTTGTTTATCGAGAAATTGTCCAATATTCTTGATACATTAAAGAAGGATGACGAAATAATTCTTTTAGGAGACATGAATATTTGTCTTCTTCGCAAATCGCCACTGGCTAAAAAATATATTGACTTGTTGAGTCTTCATGGGTTTAGTCAACTCATTAAAGAGGCAACACGCGTTACACCTACATGTTCTTCTTTATTGGATCATGTTGGTTGTACCAAAGAAAATAAAATAAGTCAAAGTGGTGTCATTGATCTAGGTATTAGCGACCATTATTTTACTTTCTGTACACGGAAAAATGTTAGACTGGCTATAGGTCATCACAGGACTAATGATATCAGATCCATGAAAAAATATACAGAAGAGTCTTTCAATCTTCAACTATATGTTGTTGATTGGTCACGAATAACTGACTGTACAGATGTAAATGAGGCATGGTCAATATTTCAACATGTTTTTATCTCAAATTTGAATATGATAGCGCCACTGAAACGGATAAGAATAAAACAAAGATCAGAAACTTGGGTGACTAAAGATATTCTTTCCCTAATTCAAGAGAGAAATATAGTATACAAAAAATGGAGGAAAAGAGCAAAAGATGAGAAGCTCTATAAAAGATACAGAGTATTAAGAAATATGGTCCAAAGAGAGGTGAAAAAGGCTAAACTCGTTTACTTACAAAACAAGATAGAAGAAAATAAACAAGATTCGAAAAAACTTTGGCAGAATCTAAAAAGCTTAGGATTGAAAAATAAGAAGCGAAAAGAACAAGAATCTGTCATTAAAATTGATGGGGAATTATGTCATGATAAGATGGCCATCGCTGATGAATTCAATTCTCATTTCACAAATGTGGCTGCCAAATTAGTAGACAAACTCCCCCCTTCCAAAGACTTTTTCAGCGCAGACAATGATTGTATTCGTGACTTTTACGAAAGAAAAGGTGTACGTGAAAACAGCTTCGAGTTATTACCAATCAGTGAACAATTTGTTTTCAAAGAGTTACGTCAGTTGAAAGTATCAAAAAGTACTGGGTTAGACTTGATTCCAGCTAAATTTCTAAAAGATGGTGCGAAGGTTTTATTTAAGCCTCTAAGTTACTTAATGAACCTATCTATCTTGACGAATACTTTTCCAGAGGATATGAAAATAGCAAAAGTGACTCCACTTTATAAAAAGAAAGATAAAACTGATGTTAGCAACTATAGACCTATTAGTGTTTTAAGCGTAGCATCAAAGCTCCTAGAAAAATCGGTATGTGTTAAAATTGAAAGATACTTCAAAGAAAATGATATAATTTATGAATTTCAATCTGGTTTTCGACATGATTATTCGACTGAAACATGTCTAATTCATTTGACTGATTATTTGAGGAGAGAAACTTCCCAAGGGCGCTTTGTTGGTATGGTGCTCCTTGATCTGCAAAAAGCTTTTGATACAGTTAATCATTGCGTCTTATTGAAGAAGTTACAACTAATGGGTTTTGATAAGGCAAGTTTAGATTGGTTTAGATCCCACTTATCTAATCGGCACCAAGTAGTGGCCATTCATGATATTCGTTCCAAACTAATGCCTATAACTTGCGGTGTTCCTCAGGGAAGCATTTTAGGCCCAATTCTATTTTCAAGTTATATAAATGATATGTGTATTTGTATAAAAGACTTCAAACTATTACTGTACGCAGATGACAGCGTACTACTCTATTCAAATCCTGATCCTAAATATATTGAGGAAAAGCTCAGTGAACAGCTGTCTACGTGTGTCGATTGGATGACTGATAATAAGCTTTCTTTACACTTGGGAAAAACAGAAAGCATTTTATTTTATTCTAAAAGTAGTTCTAAAAAGTCATTTGAATTCAAAGTGACACACAATAATCAAGCAATCAAGAGAAAAGAGTCTGTGAAGTATTTAGGCATTGAGTTGGCTAGCGCAATTTCATTTTCATCTTTAGTAGAATCAGTTGTAAAAAAAGCAAATTCTCGTCTGAAATTTTTGTACAGATATCAAAGTTGTATGGATTTAAAAGCAAGACGTACACTCTGTTTTGCTCTTATTCAATGTTTATTTGACTATGCTAACCCTGCATGGTATAGTAACATAAACAAGTCAGATCAAAAGAAGTTGAAGATTATACAGAACAAAATGGTGAGATTTATCAACTGTTCTGGTCCAAGAACTCATGTTGGCTACAGCGAACTTTCTAAAGCTGGTTTTCTTGAAGTCGACCAAAGATCAAAACAACTCGTATTGCATCATGTGCATAAAATATATCATACTAGGTCGAATCATTATATTCGATCCAACTTCGATCTTGTTACTGACGTACATGATTATAATACAAGAAATAGACGATTCAACTTTAAATTACCTGAAAGAGTAGGTAGTATTGGAAATTCGTTTTATTACAATGCCATAAAACATTGGAATTCCCTTCCCAATGGTGTAAAAGAAATAGGAAACTATGATAATTTTAAGAGGAAATTAAAGGAATACCTAATTCTTGACAGTCAGAGAAGAGAAGTGAATGACATGTTATATGATTGAAATGTTTATTCTTCTGTCGGTTCATACTTTTTCATGTTGTATATACTTATGTTTTCGTACGTTATAGAAATTCTACAAATTCATCATTATTTTCCTCTTCTTCCTTCTCCTCTTTTTCTTCTTCTCCTTCTTCTTTTTCTTCTTGTACTTAATATCATTTCTATCATCAGTTTAATGTTGTTATCATTATTATCTTTAATAAGTAGTTCTTTTAATTTTCTTATCTGTCTGTAAATATTACTATTTTAACTTATTAATTTTATACATGTCTGTAAGGGACCCCACTGGAAATAAGCTCTCGAGCTTTCGTGGGTTATCCTGTTCAAGCTGACTTTTTTTGATCTGTTATTATTGTATATTGTTGTATGTTGGAAGCTTGTCGAATAAAAATCAATCAATCAATCAATTAATAATGAATAATATTTATCAATTATTGCGATATTTTTGGTCATTTGTGCGGGTTAAGTCTGTTGGGTTTTGCATAGTTATATAATGTTTAAAGGTAGTTTTTTGTTCTGATTGATTTCATAATGCCTTTCATAATTCGTAGGTTTCTTGAAATGTTAGAGCTACGTTTTCCTCTGACAGGAGGTATATTTTTATCATAATAATATTGTAATTTACGATTGAAATGTTCGTATGCATTATTCACGTTTTGTTCATTCAAAACATCTGTCCATTCTTAGTCTAATAAATCTTTTTTGATAACTCAATGTTATTATTTGTCTCTTTCCTAAAGGAAAACCTTCGAGTTTGTATTAACTAAACTAAACTAAACTAAACTGAGATATCACAAATATTGGGAGGTGGTCATTGCAAATGGCCAGTTTGCAAGTGCTGATGCATTGTAAATGCACTACCAATGTTGATACTAGTAAAATCATCAAAATGTGAAGAAGAAAAAAAACCTTCATGAAAAGCAATGTCATGAAACCATCACTTACAAATAATGTAAGTTATCAATCAGTAATGAATTATAATCTTGAAAATATTCTGGTATTTATTTTTTATTTATCATACAACTTTAAAAGACAGTATGAGAGTGTAAACAAATATTATTTCAGATATAAAAATGGCACATTATTGGAAATAGATTGAAAATAAAAATCAATACATTTATAAAGACTTTATGCACAATTCATATCTACTATAAACGTGATTAAGGGGCAAATTTTATCCACAATGATACTATACAACATTGCATGCCTCGGCATACAATACAACAGAATCTATGAACCAACAACTTCAGAATTTCCAAAGTAATGTTATATTCACAGGTTTCGCAATATAATTGCACGAGGAAAATTATGAATTTTGAGATGAGTATATGCTAAAGTGAACAATAATGCATGCTATATTTCTAATATAAAATTGAGGGTATTTAATTGCAATCTCACGTATTGCTCCTTTCGAGTCTAGCCTTGTCGATTTCATTCAGACTGTCTTCGCATCAGAATCGCGCAGCTGAGACACTCAAAGCAATAGATACGGGAAGAGAGGTGTGCAGTTTCATTCATTTTTCTACACGTTTTAACAATAAAAAAGAGTTCTCATATTGCATGCTCATGCAATGGGAGATGTGAGTTGGTCTAGCGGCACTTTCACTTGGTCAGCTCTCTGTCTTCGCCTACAAACTGGCCCAGTTTTAAACTCAGTCACTTCTTTTGGATGGTGACGTAAAAGGTCAGTCTCCACAAGTAAATAATCAAATATGATCGATAAAGACAAGATCACACACACACATTACAAAATGTTGAGTGTCACGCGATAGCTTCTCAGCCAATAGCATGCTTTCTAACAACTACACTATTTCAATTAGAGACATATTGTTACTCTATTTTACTTGGTATACAAGCTCAACACATTATACTGCTTGAAGTTAACTAGCTTATCCATACAATGCATACAATAATCATTGATTTTTTTCAAGAAATATACAATCTATCCATGAAGAATGAAATAAATACCATACCATTAATATCTCCTAATTCATGAGGATTCAATTTTTGTTTAATTTTGTTTTTGTTTTTAAATAAGAAGCGTTACATTGATAAATAATCATCTGCAAAACCTTTGAAAGTCCTTTCAACAATACTGCTTGTGTATCCATTTAAAGAACGTAGTCCTCACATGTGGATCACTTAATGACGTTGATACAAGATCTTCTACTATACATGAAATCTAAAATCATCTGTTTGAGATATTTTTAAATCAATATGGTAGTGTGCTGCCATAATCATTCCTGTTTCAGTTTCACGTAGCTTTTCTTCAAAATCTTTGTGTAATATCCATTTCTTTTGTTACAGCATGATATGAACGTAACATTTATTTCAGTTCACATGTACATCACATATACATGTATAATAATGATTCACCGTGGAGCTAAAATACTGCTTAACATAAATGAATATGCTTTTTATGCTAAACTCAATTTGAGCAAACATTGCTATGGTTAGTGTAAGACAAAGTTTCTCACTTCTGTTATGTCATAAAAATTGCCCAAACCCTGGAATTACTAATTACTAAAAGATATTTCAGTGATTTACATATAATCTTCAAGATTTATAAGTACATTAAAACAATCTAAAGAATACATGGGTTTGTTTCTTTTATGTTTTTCTATGTGATTGGTGATGACGGGAGTTCATTATAACAAGGAAACAATTCTAAATCCTCTGGCCTCTGTTTCAATTGGAGTTCCCTGTTTGTAGATTTATTTAATTTAATTTGAAGGGCAAGTTGGCAACAAATAATTGAAAACATGGCCCCATCTCTTAGTCAGTTCCCCCAAAATTACACACATTTCTGTTAATAACATTTTGATGCTCTACTACAATGTACATCCACAACACTAACATACATTTTGAGAAGAACAAGTTTTATATTAAACTGCATTATCATCATCTGGAAATCTATAAAACCAGGCATATTGCATAGATATTTTGCATGATTCCCTTTCAACAAGGAATGATATACGTTCATAATTCTTGCCTTACTCTTTTAGGAATTCTACCCACTTTTTGCAGAACTCTAGAGGTGCAAGGGCCGGTATACAATTATTTTCTTATCTGAAATCAGTTGTAAGCTTTTGAAAGTAAATGCTTAGATAACTTAGGTAGTCAATTGAAGCGTTTCACCCTGATTTTAAGACAGCTCCCTAGCTAAGGCCCAATAACTTTAGAGGCCGTAATTGGCAAGCATGCAGTTTTCATACGCAGTCATGATAAGCCACACACAATTATACTTAGTACTTTAGTCAATGGAATTTGTTAATTGCACAATATTTTGGAATGATCATAAAATATCACAATGATTATCAGTCAGAATTTTACCTAAAAGTTGGTTAACTAAAATAAAATGCTCAGATGCAATCCAAAATGAGTTAAGAGTAACATTACTTAACCAATTAAAATGCTTAGTAAAATACTGACTCAATCCCGTACAGAATTGAAAACGGGCCAAAGATAACTATACTTTTATAGTTCTTGCTTAACTTTAGAGGCTCCCACTTTCACTTCAGGGGATTCCCCGCTCCAGTACCGGTACGCTAATATGGCACTGTTTCTACTCCCTATGACAGCCATCTCCATGGCACTAGCAGCCCACTCAATGGCATTGGGGTAAAACAAGCCTTCCGCCAAGACAAACCCAGGGAAGGTCTTACGCTCGTGGTAATAGGGATACGCCAACCAGTCGCGGTGCGTCGCTTCCGAGTACGACTTGAACAACGCCTCCATCTGCGTATCGTTCAAGACACCGGTTGAGAACACCTTGTAGAGTTGCCTCGATGCGTTGAACGTGATGGGGTTATAGTCCACGGGGAAGTTCTTGGCGAGAGTTCTGAAGTTCAGAGGCACTTCCATGTTGGTGATGATCTGTCCTGGGAGCTCACCTTCTGGCGAGACTCCGAAGGTTGATGCTCGAGGACGCCCCTCGATGAGGGTGGCAACCGTGTGGCGGTAGTCGCCAGTGAAGTTGGTGGTGACCGGATGATCAAAGCCTATGAAGTCGATACCTGAGAGATCGTCCTCTATGGGTGAAGCCATCATGACTATGTCAAAGACATCACTCTTTGGACCTTTGACACTCTCGTTCCACGTGACTCTGAAGGTGGGCCTTTCTGCATTCTCACCGGCAACACGTTCAACGGACTGTACCCGAGACCTCATGAGCGTCGCACCGGACCTCTGAAGCAGCTGTTCAGGCACAAGCTTGTTACCCCCATCTATACACCACAGACCAGGTACGGCCGCAGCTAGGGACACCATGCCTTGGGATGATAAGGAAAGCGAGAGGAGAGAGGATGGGAAGTTGTTCAAATTTAAAGTTTGTGAATATTTTCTCTTGTTTAGATTACTCATACAAACAATGAAACTTATGATGACATTATATTTCTCTACTTACATACACATATATCTTTGCATTGTTTAATGTTGCTATCCATATTAAAGTAGACACCATAATTGCTATTTTTCACGGATCTGTGGGACTTGTTCTTGTCTTATTCATTTTAAGTATTATAACACAGGGCCCTGAACAGAATGCACTGGTCTAAAACTAGACTGAACAACAGGAAATCAAACATTTACGCCAGAAGAACATCAGAATATTATCGCTTTACCTGCAAACCCCATCATGTTCGGGTTCTGCCCATAATTTGCTCTTGTTGCTATAGCAGCGAACTCTTGGACAAACCTCTCCGACATGCCCATGTCTCGGAGGACGACGCTTATAGGCTTGGTCAGCCAACCCTCAAACTCCTCCCCACCCATCGCAGCCATTATGCCTTCAATGTCTGTGTAGGATTGTCCTGCATCTTGGAAATCATAAATTCTGAGAAAAAAAAAGGAAGGAACAAGGAAAATACAGTCAAATCTGGCTATAGCGACCGCCCAAGGGTAAAACAAAAAGTGGTCTTTGTAGACAAATTCATTTAGTACATGTTTCAATGAGAAACCATTTTCAAGGGAAGCAAAAAATGTGGTCTTTGTAGACAGGTGGCCTCTATTGAAGCAGGTTTGACCAGGCGCGGATCCAGGATTTCTTAGGGGAGGGGGCCCAACTTTTTTTTTTTTGCTCCCGAAAATTTGAAAATCGCGCCGGCCGAAAAGTCGCTCAGTGGGGGGGGGGGGGGGGGGAGGGGGGGGTAGTGAGCACATTTTTTTTTTTTTTGATCCTCAAAAAATTTTCAATTTGCACCCCCCCCCCCCCTTGAGCGCCAGGGGGGGGGGCCAACCCCCTAAAATCGTAAAAATCACGTGATTTTACATGATTTTTTTTCTCAAGGGGGGGGGGGCCTGGGCCCCCCGGGCCCCCCCCCCCTGGATCCGCCACTGGGTTTGACTGTACATGAAGGCAAAAATGCAGAGCTTGAAAGGACCGTACAAGGACCCACGCGCCAGTGCACATGGACACCCAACTTTTCAAATGTAATCTTTGTGTCCAGAATGGATATAAACAGTCTGGTCCCAATGAAAAACCTGGAGTCCTGGACTAATGATAAAAAATTGATTTACCAATAGGTGCATGAATAGGAAAATAAGGCAATGGTTCAAGAGAGAAAGACAGTCAAAACAGATTCTTCTCAAAGATAAATGAGGAGTATAGAGGGAGTGTAGCTTGGCAAATACTGGTTAACGCCAACTACGTCTTCTTTTGGACAACTGCATTTAATTTAAATTAAATCTTGCTTAGACTAATTTTGGCGTTTATTTTACACTAAGCAGTGACCTCACAACACAGTCCCACATGCATACAATGTCGGTTTGGTTCCATGAGTGCCCTCGCCCCAACTTTTTCTCAGATTCCATTTTTACCACTTCCCAAGAGGAGTACCCCCTCTATAGCCCAACCTGTGCCACCCCAATGGCTATCTGTATCATCTTGGTTCTTGAAAAAGAAAACAAAGAAGAAAGGAAGGAAACGAACTGAGAAATATGTTAACCTTTCAAATTTCTTGAGCAGATTACTGATGGTCCAACGCATTCGGAAAACGTCCAATCCATATCGCCATAGTAACTTGAGGAGGGTTATGATGGAGTATTGGCTGGATTGAAAGACAAATTCTTCTCCATCGTAGATTCCCATCGTTCTATCAGTGCCTTCTGCGCTCCTCTCCTTCAGTCCTATAATAGGAGAGAGAGAAAGAGATAGAGATTGAGTGTGAGAAAGAGAGAGAGTGAGTGTGAGAAAAAGAGATAGAGAGTGAGTGTGAGAAAAAGAGATAGAGAGTGAGTGTGAGAGAGAGAGATAGAGAGTGAGTGTGAGAGAGAGAGACAGTGAGTGTGAAAGAAAGAGATAGAGAGTGAGTGTGAGAGAGTGATAGATAGATACGAGAGTGAGAGAGAGAGAGAGAGACAGTGAGTGTCAGAGAAAGAGATAGAAAGTTAGTGTGAGAAAGAGTGAGAGAGAGAGATACGAGATTTAGTGTAAGAGAGAGAGGGATAAATAGTGAGTGAGAGAGAGAGTGGAAGAGAGTGAGATAATGAGAATGGTCGTGATCCAACTATCATACCGTAATTGTTAGTTACCTGTATGCATGCGCTATGCACATGTAGATTTTTTTTTCTAAACCTCTTCACGCTATCTCTGCCTTGAATGAACACGAGTTGAAATTTTTTCATTCACAATTAAACCTGAACATCAAGGTCAGATATTAAGATTGTCATAAGATGTCTAGAAATAGTCTCACCAAAATCTTGCACAAATTTCTTCATGTATAGATTGCGCGGATGGAGGATCGTCCCGCCTATCTCATACTCTGCTCCCGCGATGGAAACGGTTGCTAAGCGACCTCCGATGGTATCTTTCTCAAAGAGTGTGATGGATGCATTTTCACCAAACAGGTCCCTCAGGTAGAAAGCATTTGACGTACCACCTATGCCCCCTCCAACTACAGCTGTGAAACAGAAGAAGAATAGCACAAAATACAATGTTACTGTGCATGAAGGAAGATGATGTCGTCGTCGTCATCCATTGACAGTATAACTAACAGTTTAAAATACGGCTGGAAGAAGTTCAACCCGCGAGCTCAATTTAGACAAAGAAAATCTGGAAAAAAAAGACCCTTAAAGGTAAAGACCAGTTATGGTCATGCGATTGCATTGTGAAAGAAACGTTGTGGAATCGATCAGAAAAGGTTGATCATCTAGCATCTAGCATCTGCAAGGTTCTGGAATCATCAAAATGATAAGAAATTTGGCCCATTCTTCGTAAACTTACAAGCACTATACACAGAAAGATGTATATGGGACTACCCTATATCTCTCACAGACCATGAGAGAAACAAATTTACCAAATATATGAATTAGTAGGCGGTTTCCCGGCAAATTTTTTATCATCATGTATTAGTCAAAACATATTCTTTCACATGATTGGTAATGAGAGCTTCCATTTCATTTTTTGAAATTGGGGCGTTTCCAATACTGGTCTTTACCTTTAATGGCATTATGGCATCATACAATCAATCTGGTAAGTGGAACCAATGTATATTAGCCTAGGCTTAATTTTCAAAACAAATGTATCGGATATGAATTCGTTAAAATTGAGTATTTGGGGGAAAGAACATTTGCACAGGAGTGCCTATGGTCGATTTCTGTCTTTAAAGAGAGGAGCCGACCCTACCTGAATAAGAGCCTTTAAAGGGACTATGTCCCATTTGCAGGCCAAAAAAATGAAAAAGTTAAATTCCAACTGCATTTGAAAGATAATACTAATTTAGAACTTCCCTAAAAAAGGTGGGGCTTGAAAATGTCTTCAAGTGGGAAAATAACGACTATTAGTTGTCAAATCGACTTTAGGGCTATAGAGCCCAAAAGTAATAGTCTTGATTTTCAGACAATTGTACCAAATGGTCATACGTTTATTGCTGCACAAAGATTCAATCAGTTTAATCTTGGCCATCAAAAGAAGTGGGTTATTGATGTAGACAAATGCTCATGTACCCTTTACAACTCTTTTCATGTATGTTACCAAAGAAGAAAAAAAGCCAGTCAGTCACTCAATAGTGTCTGACACTGAAGTCTAGCAAGTAAACGGTTTTCCTTGCATAATTTGAATATGAGGACACTTCTAACGTTTAAATTTCACAGATAGGACATACATGACATGTTTTCATAATTCCTGCAAAGTTCTACAGCATTTGAGGTTGGCTGCAAAAGGGACATAGACTAGTACCTTTAACGAACAAATGAGACAAAATTTTTGTCTAAGATAGATCATGATACTACTACTAGTACTACTAGTTCAACTAGAGACTAAAGTAGAGATCTATCATCTACGTAGTAACATGCACCTAGACAGAAATAACCGTCTGGTAATATAATTGGATCATTCTTAGCACAAATACATTGTAGCTGCGTGCATTACCATCCTGGCTGTGTATTAAAAGCTGTGCTATAGATTCTCAAAATTTCAAACACCACTGTACAAAACTCAAGTGATTTCACTAAAAATCGATACTTTAGTGACGATTGATGACACCTAAATAGCAGTAAAATACAATTTGTTCAACTTTCCGATGTTAGAAAGAATAATTCAAAAATTCAAATTGTGAGTCCATTATCAAACTTGCCGATCAGCCGCATCGGCATGATTGTGTGCATCTATGTGTTATAAATGTATTGACTATTCATGTATTCAAATGCTGCCTATTAACACGTAGTGCAGTGCTAAAGGTCAATACGCATTGCTGGAGTGAATAAAGCTTACATTTGTGAACATTCCCCATACACAGACAGTACCCCCCTTACGGCACACATAAGGAGGAGGGGGTAACTAGCCGAATTTCGGCGAAATCAGCCATTTGAGGGGTGGCCATGCACCACAAAAAAAGAAGAAAAAATTGCTATCGACAATGTACGCCACTGCAGCCGGCTAGACTCGGGTGCCGATCGCTTTGCAGTTCGCACGCTCAGCTCAGTCATGCAAGTCTCGGGCTGCCGAGTCCGTTTGCACAATCAATTTCAATGATCATCGGCAAGAAAATGAGAACTTACCAATTTTCACAGGCAGCAGTCGATTTCCATCAACTTCTACATTTTCAGATGATGTGAGAGAATATGAAAATGTAACGATGATACAAAAAATGGCTACTGAAACGTATTTCTTCGATAACATTTTGACTTTTTACCAAGATGAAAGTTGAACGTGCGTTGATCCTGGCCGGAATCACGTAGATTATTGGTATCCGAAAAAGGCCAATTTAACGGTGCCAATTTAATGACGACTTTATGAAACTAGCGATTCATTATAGTGTAAAAGGCATGGAGATTGTCGCCGAATGCGAATCCCACTGGTGCGAAAGAGCATTATTCTAAAAACGTATCCGAAGTATATTCATTTTTTTTTACAGGACAAGTTACGTAGTCTTTCATCCAGGGTCATTATTATATTTTTGTTTCTAAATTTTTCCTTTCTTGTTTGCTTCAGTGTTAGAGTATTTTTCGGATTTGTGTTGACCATCGGTCGAGTGCTGTAATAGTAAACAAATCCTGGCTTCATGCACGGTATCAGGGGGGGGGGGGGGGGGGGGGGGGCGTTGGGCGGTGGGGGGGGGGGGGGTGGAGGCGGGGAACGTTTTTTTTTGGGGGGGGACACGTCTCCCCTCATTTTTTTTTAAGGGGGATCGTCCCTCCCCCCTCAAAATTTGAAAATGTGCCCCCGAAAAAGGTAGCAAATACTAAAGACTGCAACAAACTTAGGTTCTGGAGGGCCCAAAAGTGCAGCGTGTAGACAAATAAAAATGCAAAAATCTTTTCACTCGGAAGCTACGCTCCCTTGCATAATAACCTTCTAAATGTATAAGTAAATAGGCCTACTGAGCAAAACGAAGTGTGAAAAAAGTTTATTGCTTGTTTTTATACTATAGTTTTGCTAAGAAATGTAATTTTTTAATAAAACCAAAACTTCAAAAATCCGTAAGGGGTAGTCCCTCTCATTCACTATGCTCCCTCGCAATATTGATGGGGGGGGGGGGGGGGGGAGCTTTGGGGAAGTCCCCCCCTCAAAAAAAATCATTCAAACGTGGTTTATTTCTAATTCGATACCAGTGATTTACAAATGTTGCTGAAATGGCATTTTCCCTGACTTTCGGGGGCTCTGCCCCCTGGACCTTACGGTCCACTTGCTTCGCTCGGCTTGATCTACCTGATCGTAAATACTTTAGCCAGGACCTGAGTAACATGTAAGAGTGATGGTGATGCGGGTTCTTTTCTGCCCCCCCCCCCCCAAACGTTTTTCCTCATTACGCCACTGCTCCCTCGTCCCTCGCATTTTGCCCCCCCCCCCCCGGTCGTGAAAGGAAATCGCCGCCCCTGCACGGTATGCACCATTATCAAATTCGATCTAAACAAAATAATGTCACTGCATCATTCTAAATTCAGTCAGCCTCTTTTGGGCTGCCACGCAAAATAATGTGGAAAACTTTGCGACATTTTAGTCAGGATGTTAAAGCCCGTCTGTACTAGTTTGGCCGGGGGGGGGGGGGTTAGACCACACAGAGTGGTCACTGACAGGTGGCTATCTCATCAACTCAGCTCTCGATTAACATAACAAAAAGTGGATCATGGGTGACCAACGGGCACCGTTTAGGCGTTGTTTTCTCTCCAGAGGGCCAATTAGCTACAAGTAGTACAGTGGGGATTCTAAAAACAGAAATAGCACGTATTAATATTTGTTCTTCTTCTAATTCCGATATTTACTTCAAGCTTGCTAATATCAACATTATTATTTGTATTCCCGATTTCTTTAGATTTCTTTGGATATATTGTTGTTGATTCTTAATTTTAGAAAACGGTCATTATTCATAAGGGTCATCATTCATATTTAATAACCCCGATTCATAATCGAAAATGAGGGTTGCCATCATAATTATGAGAAGAGGGTCGTACTCGCTATAATACAAAATCGGGTCGAAATTCATAGGCCTAAGGGTCCCTATTCATAATACGAAATAAGGGTCGCTATTCATAATACGAGAAGAGGGTTGCTAGTCATAAAAATCACATAGCAAACAAAATGATAAGAAAGGGAAATGTTGGCTGTGGCGTAGCTCTGGGGGGGGGGGGGGCGACACATGGCCCCGAATATTTGTCGCAAACATTATGAAAATTTACTTTCGTGACAAGACGAGATAGTTTACAAGCAAACCACCTCATCAGGCCCATATAAATAAATATGAATGTCTGACATCTGACTGTCCGAGTCGTCATCATAAGCGTAGAAGGCGAGGGGAAATATTTCATAATGTAGATGTGTTTGTTTTATAATGATCTATCTTGTTTAATGACAATTCACGTCAGCCTTACTCCTCGTTTGTTTTGTTCCCTTTATTGTATTTTTTTATTTTGTTTTGGCTATTTAATGTCATTGACTCTTTATATTTTGTGTGTGAACCTGTATGGATGCATACGTGTATTTGAATAATTAATACGTGTATTTTATCTGTTGCTTAGGATTTATCAGGTCTCGAATTAATTAATATTAACTTTCCTGAACCTGCATGCACATTTGTATTTACATTCCGTTTTTTTTTTTGTGTTTGTTATGTATTCATCATTATATCCTGCCCCCTTGTTGCTACGAGGAGGGCTAGATATCCCACCCCAATTATAAACAAAAACAAATTCATCACGGCATTTATTTTTATTTATTTTTCGCACTAGACCTTATCAAAACCTTCTGACCCATCACCACAAGGCGTCGCTAGACCTTTTTTCAACGGGACGGAGAGGGGGGGGGGGGGGTGTAGAGGCCACCGATTATCGACAAAACTAGCCACCAATATTATTACCGACAAATATACTAATGCCAATGTCCCAATATCAACACATTTCACCCTATAACCACGGGGCTAAGAGCTAAATTAACGTGTCAAAGATCTTGAAAGTTGTATTCATGATGTACGAAAATGGATGAATGATTGCTATCTCAAACTAAATGACGATAAAACAGAATTTCTCTTGTTAGGCTCCAGACAACAACTTTCCAAGATTGTTATAACTCATATACGTGTTGGTTCTGTGCACATTGCTCCTTCAGATAAGGCAAGAAATCTTGGTGTCATTTTCGATACAAGCATGTCTCTTGATGCACATATTTCAAAATGTGTGAAAGCTGCCAATTATCATCTTCGTAATCTTCGCGCTATAAGGAAATTTTTAACCCCCCAAACCACTCAACAATTGATTCATGCTTTTGTAACATCTCATCTCGATAACTGTAACTCTCTCCTTTATGGACTTCCTAAATACCAAATTCACAAACTACAAAAGGTTCAAAACGCAGCTGCCCGCCTTGTCACTAAATCTAAACGATCGACCCATACTACTCAAATACTCAAGAAACTTCACTGGCTTCCAATAGAACAGCGTATCAAATATAAAATTCTACTACTCACCTACCGTTCACTAAATGGATCAGTCCCTGAATATATTTTCTCTCTTTTTAATATCTCTTTAAGTTCTCGTGCAGGTATTCGTTCCTCTAATTCAACAAATTTAACACAATTAAGAACAAAGAGGAGTTGGGGAGACAGAGCTTTTACAGCTGCTGCACCCCGGTTATGGAACTCCCTACCCCATTCAATCAAAATGTCAGCCAATCAAAATGTGTTCCAAAAACAATTGAAAACCTATCTAATGTCTGAGTTCCTTAGTTAAGACGTAGTGTATTTCAAAATATGATGTAATTAACGTTGTTGAATTATATTTGATTATGTTAAATTATTTTCGTTCAATGTACTTACCTTGTTAGGCGCCTTGAGTCTCTCTTGGGGTGGATATGTGCGCATTACTTTTTTTTTTCAGTGCGAAAGCTTTGACATTTCATTAAATTGTTAAAGAAAGAAGACGATTCGTTATACCTTTCCCGACTCGTAATCCTATTCTGAATTTAGTTTTCCCCCTCCCACGCGGAGCGCTGAAGCTTTGACATTTCATTAAATTATTAGAGAAAGAAATTCTCAATCGCAGTTCCCGGCCTCTTCCGCTTTGCCTTTTTTTAATTATTAGAGAAAGAAGACGATTCGTTGTAGCGTTCTCGACTCTTAATCCTAGTCTGAATTCAATTCACCCCCCCTCCTCTCCCGCGCGAAGCGCTGAAGCTTTGACAGTTCATTAAATTATTAGAAAGAGAAGACGATTCGTTGTACAGTTTTCCATTCCTAATCCTTGTCTGAATTCAGTTCCCGGCCTCTTCCGCCTTGCCGTTTTTTTTTATTTATTAGAGAAAGAAGACGATTCGTTGTACCGTTCTTGATTCTTAATCCTAGACTGAATTCAGTTCCCCCCTCCCGCACGAAGCGCTGAAGCTTTGACATTTCATTAAATTATTAGAGAAAGAAGACGATTCGTTGTACCGTTCTCGACTCTTAATCCTAGTCTGCATGAATTCAGTTGCCCCCCTCCTGAGCGAAGCTTTGACATTTCATTAAATTCAACTGGGTTCTTTAATGTACGACTTCGATTCTGGTGTCCTTCCACAGGCTCTAGTCAGCATTTTTAAGAAAAATAGTCAAGTTCATGACCATGCTACACGAAATGCCTCTGCGTTTCACTTACCCCAAGTAAGGACAAAGTTAACTTTTAATACTTTGGTTTTTACTGGACCTAAATTTTGGAACTCTCTAGGCTCTAGCGTTAAGCAATCTGTTAGTCTCTCTTCATTTAAGTGTAAACTTAAGGTTTATCTTCTCGATAAATACTGTGACTCATAGAGTAGTTCATTTTTGTAGTTATTATGGTGCCAAGATATATTATGTATTACTATAAATGTAAATTTTCTTCTTGATATTAATATGTGTCTAACTGAATATTTTCAGATTGTCAACCTCTTATTCCCTCCCCCTGTTGTCTTGTGCCCGTTGTGTGCTGTGCCTATTGTCGATGTCCTGTAGTCTTCTATTATTTCTCATATTTTCTATTTTCTCCCGTCTTGTCTAGTCTCGTCTCTCGTTTTGTTGTTGTTGTTGTGTGTGTGTACACTTCTTGTTTTGTTATACCCCCTTTTCCCTATTGTATTCTTAGGTAGTCACAAATATCTATTCATCATGTTTTATCCGGCTCAGAGGGGACCCTAATAATTACAAGCTCTGCTTTTACCAGGGTCTCCTCGCCTTTCTTTTAGTTAACTTTGTTTTTATCATTGCC